CGCATAACCAGAACAAGCACGACTCGTGATGTAAATGAAAGCCAGAACTGTGCAGGTGTTTTCCTCTTGTGATGGGTTGCAAAGTGGGGGCTTCAATCCAGCCTTTTTAAATGCCACTTTAGATGTTCTAGAACAACTAAGACATGGTCTGGTATCTGGCATACTCGTTTGTAACTTGAAAGCTCTGAAGTTAATTCGTAGAGACAATGTCCAATATGGTAGGAAATAAAAAGGGCAGAGTGATAAAGAGAAGATTCTGTAAGAAATTCACACTGGGATGGGATCAATTGCTCTCTGGAGGCTGTTCTCTTTCTAAATAACAGCAATGATGAGTAAATTTTTTTTTTTTTTTTTTTTTTTTTAATCTGTGACACAGGGAAAAAGGCTAATATATATCACAGGCATGGGTGGATGAATACATTAAAAACTTCATTTTATGCATATGCTGTTGAACTCATCATGCTCTAAATTTTACAGAAAAAACACATCTCCACTTCTGTGGGTGTTAATGGATCTTCTGACACAAAATTAAGAAAATGGAATCTCCAGAATTATAGTATCAGAAAAATGGCATACCTTTATTCCAATTCCAGAATATTCTCCATCACTGGGCAATAATCAAAGGGCCAGATCTTTGAGATAAGTGGGCAGAGGGGAAAAATAAATTGCAAATGCTTTTGTGATATGAAACCTTTGTCCTGAAGAAATAAAAGAAGAGGAAAACAAATGCTAAGAATTCTCTAGGGAGGTGTTCTCCATTGAAAGTAAGCTAAACTTAGTCTGCTATCAGAAGCCAGCAATCTCAATTTATTGAAGTAAGAGAATGCACAGATCTCATAGGCAGTGTTGGGTGAATGTGTCCATTACCTGCATAAACCCTTCTTGTCTAGCAAATTTACAATATTACTAAGCATCCATGGAAAAATGCATATCTTGTGATTAAAAAATAGCACCAGCAAAACAGTGCTTTACAATGCAGAAATTTCTTAAAAGCTCTAAGTGAACTGTTCTCTGAGGGTTCTATCTTTTTTCATCTCTTGAAAAATATTATGTAAGTATATTAACATATTAATCCTGGAAATATGATAATAATGACACACTCAGATACATTTTCCAGCAGACAAAAAAAACTTGACAAAAATATCCACAATTCCTTAGGCATCTGGAAAAATATTATTATTTTTAGTGTAAGAAGAAAAAAAAGTACAATTCTAGAATTCATAGAAATGGATCCATTGGGATGAACTTCTGTTGTCTTTATTCTGACTTCCAAACAGAAGATGGTTTTAGCCCCATATAGTTATAGGAAGTTTTTAATGGGATATACAAAATAGATATTTCTGATTATGCAAAAAGTATAAGTTGTGATATTAGAAAAATGATTAAAAATTATCTATGACAATATCCTGAAAAAGAAAGTGAGGAGAACACAGGCAACAATTAAATGACTTATGTAGAAACTGATTTACAATATAAAAGCAGAGCAGAAAAAGCACTTGGCTTCTCAGGTTACAATAGAAATTGTAATAATTTTGTAGGCAAACTAAATTTCAAACAAACCTGTTTTCATTAAAAGACCTCCATAAGTACAATTCTCAAATGAAAAAGAAAGGCTTCTTCTCTAGGTTTGCTTTCTAAAGCTGCAGAAAATTATTACAACTTCATGCATGTTCTTAGTATAACAAAGAAATTCTATTCCAGCTCTTGTTCTGCCTTGCTTACATGAGCACAGACACTGCATCATTTTGTTGGTCTGTCATTTTGTTCATACTTGTAAGCCTTTACTCTCTCTGAACAGTACTTTTAAACTATGTAATAAAGTTTAAATAGCAGGGAAGAATCTCTTGTACCTTAAGAATACAGTAGAGAAAAACTATTATATTCTGTATTTTCCTCTTTTTTTTTTTTCTTTCAAATGAAAATTGCAGACAAACAGAATACAGAAGGTGATCCAAGGAACTCTTAATTTTGCTGGATGTTGTATTTGGTATAGCCCTGTGACTCTATCCTGACCTACATTTCCTTGAAGGTTTTAGGCTCTGCATTATGAGGGTGAATATTCCACAAATAGAGGTTTCATAATGCGGAGATTTTCATTTAGAAAATACACAAGTTCAGGCCCAAGAGATTAAAGTTTAACTGGTCAAATGATCAATTACAGGGACTTTAATACCTATTAAGTTTGCTGAAGCCATAGAATATTATTGAGCTGAATCATACACATGTTGGGATTGTATACTGCTGCAGTCCAGACAGGTAGATAGGAAAGAACTATGGAATCTTACGCTTGTACAAGTCCTAGATTTCAGACAAAGTGCATAGATATAAGCATAAATATTTTATGATCCAGTGCACTGCTGTGGAGTACGCTGATAATAAATGAATAAGGGTACATTCATGCAAAAGTCTATTTGGGGTCCCAGAACAAAACTCTGTTGATTTCAGTTATGAAAACAAGGGGAAAAAATGACTATTGATATTTTTGTGAAATTGAACCCTTTTCCTGAAGAAATAAAAGGAGAGGATGACTGAATTAGAACATGACTGAAAGAGAAATATAGTTTTATTGAGACAGATATAGCTACTAATAACTACCATTTTCTATGTGAAATCAAGAGTTTGGGTTTTATAATTATACAAAACATTACAAAAAATTCTCTTAAGGCAATTCTTGTAGATTTTTTTATTTTAAAACAAAACAAACAAACAAATAAAACCTTTCCAAAATACCAGCCTTTATAGAATTTGGAAATCCAGAGCAGATGTCTTCTGTTCAGAGCATTCTGATTATTTTTAATGACTGATGCTCAAAAACATCAAAAGAGTTTTCAAAAGTGCAAACTTGTTGCAGACATAACAAAAGTCTTTCCTGCCCACCTTCTTTCTGCTATTTCCTATAATAGAAGGCAACAGAAAATCTGTTTCCAAATAGAAGTATATGAGAAATATGAAGGTGGTAAATGCTAAATAGCTGCATATTGTGCACTTCATCGGTGTTTCACTAATATTTTATGTATAGATTGTGTCACAAAGAAAAGGTCCCAAAAAAGACAATGTTTAAACAATAGATTCAAAGTGTCTTGTTCCAAGCAAAATCATAACTATGTTTTTAAGATAAATTTCTTGTTGTGATTTGAGTTAAGCAGTCATTTTTTAATTATATGGCCAGTTTGGAAGTTGCATTTTTGGAGTCTCTGTATGTGTAAGAAGTTTTATGCAAGATACTATAGGAATTGCATAATTGTGTACTTCCTTAGGTGAAATAAAAACATAATGCACAACAGGCTTTTACCTTAAAAGACACCTTTTTCACTTCCTTCCTCTACCTCCCCCCATAAAATCCACTTTAGGGTAGTCCAAACACTGCTTTCAGCTGTTGATTGCTAAGTCATTTCTGCTGATCTTGGGAAAGTAAAAAAAAAAAAAAAAAAAGAAGCAGCAGGTGCTTCTATCCAATGTTGAATGTTTCTATCCAAAATGTGACACTGCTGCATTAAATGTTTGTTAGAAGTTCATGCCCTCTTATAAATCTGTGTAGTTAAATAATTTATGTAGCAATGAACAGACATAACACAGATCCAGCTTTATATATGTTTGAAACCATACAGTATCTACTTTGTCACAAATCACAATTTTAGTAGAGCTATTCAAAAAAACTTCTTGATATAAATATCTTGTATTGAAATAAACATGCACATGGTCTTTCACATGGCGTCACAGTCTAATAATCAAGGAGTTTGTTGGAAACACAGATTAAAATACAGAAATATGTAACGGTACCCATCCTTCATTTCAGGAACAACAGTATGGCTTTTTCTATAATGTTCCATCACAATCTGGATGGGATTGATATATTAATCTGGGAAAATGCTGGAGTCTCGCTTAGGGAATATTTTTAATATATTAATTAGTCCTTCAATATTTATGATTATTTATTAATATTGATATATATATAATTATTGATCTCTTTTGAAACTTGAATATGAAATCCATTTATAATAATAATATAATAGCATGATTCTTTTTCTTCTGTAAGTATAGTTAAACACTGGAACAGATTCTTTAGGATGATTATGCAATCTCCTCCCCTGACTGATTTTACAAATAAAAAATTCTGTAAAGAATTGTTTCAATATCACTGTATGAACTAAATATAACAATGATGGAGCTAATGCATTACAGAGGACTAGTGATCTGTAAGATGTCAATGTATTCCACAGCAGTACTACAAAAAAATAACTGCAAAACAAAGCAAATCCCATACACTTCCACATAGGCATACAACGAAAGCCTCACAATCTCAGAAGGAAAATTTAGACAACCATTTAACATTTACTCTTATTTTCATCAGGTTACAAAGTGGAGAACACAAGGTAATAATTGATCAAGAGCAAAGCTAATTTAGGTTTGGGTTTTGGAAGTTAGACAATTTTTCAGAAACATTCAAAAACACTCGTTTGGGAGACTCTGAGGGCTGTTTTCCTTCTGGGACTACCTGTTATGAATTTCTGATTGCAATGTTTAGGAACAACTTCTTAGGAATGGCACAAAGAGAGAGACACTACCATCCAGAAACCACAGAAAGACCTGCTCTTGATGTCATATTTGTAAAAGTAAACATGAATTCCATATTTATGCCCCTTATTTTTTTTCTCCTTTAAGCAATAATTGGCATTAACCTTGACAGTACCCAATCAGTGCTATTCACCTAAAAGTAGAACAAGTTTACATATTTTTCATTAATCCACTTTTCAAAAATATTCCTGAAAGTATGAGTATTAATGCTAAAATAAAGTGGAATATAAATCCAATATTCAATATCAGATTATTCATAGTTTGCAATATATTGTGTACACATGTCCTTGATATCCAACAGCTCAGTGATGACATATTACAGTTTTCTGTTTCTGTCAGGAAAGGCATGGAAATTGTTCTGTTCAATTGAGACCACCCAGACAATACAGAAGCCCATTCCTTTGAGATTTATGTATTAGATTTACCTTCATTGTTCCTTAGAGTAAAGTTGGGATTCAAAGAAAGCCCTTCATCAAGAGAAAAATGGAATCTTGCACCATTCGCAGAGTTATCTTTGTCAGTAGCAGTGATAGTCTGAATTACCTGAAATAAAAATTAACAGTGAATGTGTTGAAATTTGAACTTGACCCATATAGTGCCTGACCTCAGCAGGATGCTCAAGTTTACCTTATTTTAATTTTCTATTTGACTGCTGCTGAATTCAACTGATGAAATGACTGGGTCATTAACTCTATTTCTCTAGCAGGAAATATTTTAGAAACCACACTTCAGAGCCAGGTAAAAGCATTTAAAGAATCTACATTTTCTGATGTTTTGATAAGGTCAGGACCCAGTGTAGAAATTATCACCATCTGTATCCTGCTGACTTCCTGAATTACAGTTTTAGCTAAATATCTACCCAAAATATAGGCTGAACTGGGATGGTCTATGTGAAGTGTCATCTGCCTGGTGTCCCAATAATTGAATGTACTTCAATATTGGTAAGGAAAAAGAATTAACTAAAATATTTCTGCTAACCATATCTCTGCTAAAAAATTCCTATTAAGAATCAGTTTTAAATTGCCAGAGAATAGAACAAGAAGAAAAGAAGCCACTCCTAGCTTTAATTTAGTTTGCCCAAAAGCAACAGAACTGGATGTAGCCAGAACCATGCCTGAAAGAGGTATTTTTGAAAGGTAGGACCTTTGCCTTCAAAAGCCCTGGTGGTTTTTTAAATTTACTTTCAACTAAAATTGATCTCAGCTCTTGGAATGTGGGACCAAAACGTATTTCTACCTCTGCTTTCATTTTCATGCTGGGTCTTGAAACTCAAGTGCTAAAATGGAATCCAATAAAAGTTGTTCCTGTGGTATAGGCAGTGAAGCCCACACAAACTGCTGCACAGAACTGATAGATATCCTGAGGGAAACATAAAAGGGGGGAGGGAAAGTACTCTTTTCATAAGAAGTTTTCTGTTCAGTGTTCAGCTATAGTCAGTCTGGACTGAACCTGAAACACACAGCATAGACTCCAGTGGCTTGGTCTGTTTTAAAACTGAAAGACACCACAGAGATCTCTACCTCCATTCACTTAAGAGAAGCAAAACAAATGTATTTTTTAAACCGTGTTCTGGTTTGGGCTGAGGTAGAGTAAATTTTCTTCACAGTAGCTGGTATGAGGCTGTGGTTTTAATTTGTGCTGGAAAAAGTGTTGCTAACACAGTGATGTTTCTGTCATTGCTGAGCAGGGCTTGCCCAGCATCATAGTGTTTTCTGTTTCTTGTACGGCCTCACCAGCGAGGGGTTGCAGGTGCAGGTAAAGTTGTGAGGGGCACAGCCAGGGCAGTTGACCCCAACTGAACAAATGGATTTTCCATACCATATGATGTCATGCTGACTTATAGAGCTGGGGGAAGAAGAAGGAAGGAGGGGATATTTGGAGTGATGGTGTTTGTCTTTCAAAGTCAGTGTTGCTACACAAGCTGTTGCTCTACTCTCCTGGAGATGGCTGAACACCTGCCTGCCCATAGGAAATGGTCATTTCCTTGCTTTCCTTTGCTTGCATGTGCAGCTTTGGCTATACCCATTACACTGTCTTTATCTCAACCCACAAGCTCTCTCACTTCTACTTTCCTGATTCTCTTTCCCATCCCACTGGTGGGGAAGGGAGTGAGTGGCTGTGTGGGGATGAATTTTCAGCTGGGTTAAACCGTGACAACTCAATAGGGTATAATGCTTATTCCATTCACTACATAGAATAAAGTACATTGCATTGACTACATGCAATTGAGACAATTAACAGTACTTATGATGGTTGCCAATAATATTTTACTAGTTTGCCACAATACTTTTTGCTGAAGTGGAGCGGGGTAAGATCAATATTAATAAAATCTGAACTATCTATAATCATACATATGACTTTTACTTAAGTCATGGCAATACTGGTTGAAAATTTTGTCAAAAGCTAATTTTTCACTACTGACTTTTGCAAAGGTGGCACAACTGTTAGTGAAACTACGGTGTAAAACCAGAAAGATAGAATTTTCTTAGCTATATATATTTAGTTCATAATGTTGAAATATTTGGCACAGCAAGACAAAAAAAGGGGTGATGAAACATTATGTTCAAAACAATCTATTTCTGTTATTATTCAAATACTAAAGATATCATTAAATGCCATACACATCTGTAAAAACTTCAGGTAAGGCCATAAGAAGAATATATTGTTTTATTAAATATTTTTGGTAAATCTCCAGTGTTGTTTCTCAGTGAAATATAAGTCAATTTGCCATGCAGCTTAGGCTTTTATTTGACAGCATGGTGGATAAATTTTCATTCTGTTGCCCCTATGCTACATAAAACATTCAGTGACATTTTACAGAATGCTGCTTCAAGAGCATGCCATTCTGCAACAAAAACACCTTTGATCAAGGACTCAGTGACACATGACTTGTGTAAAAATTATTTGGTTTTAAGACTAACTTCATAACTCAAAATATACTATCTATATTCCCTGATTTCACGCATGTAAATTCAAGTATTCCCTGAATATTCATAAACGTATGTAAAAACTATTGCACCACATGGTATAAAAGTTTTGTATTTTCACATAGAAAATAAATATTTTATGTTTACTAGGACAGGTCAAAGCATTTTAAGACCTGTTTTTAAACAGGAAGTTTACATATTGTCAGAAAATATTTCTAAGACATTCATTCACCAGTGAGAAACAAAAGTACACATCATCTTGACATCCAAATGTACTATTAACCCTTTTCTAATTAACTGGCCAAGTACTTAACAGCCAATTAGCAGACATTAACATGTACCCTGTCAAGCCTGATTAAAATAAAAGACATCATCTCAGCTTCAGTAAAGCCCAGCTGACAACACTGATAGGATAAAACTGAAGGGTCATGACATTTTTTAAAGGCAAGATATTATGAGAAAAGAGAATTTCAAGAACTGAGGAGAACTAATTGAAGAGGACAGAGAGCAAGTGTTAAATTCTACTCAGAATCATTTTAGAATTGAATTAATAAGCAAGCAAATATACACATGACAAACACATAGCAGAGGCATTCCTTGCCGACTAACATTGATTTCCTTTTTGGAAGATGGCAAAATGTCATTTTTCTACATTGGCTAAATTTCATGGTCATTCAGAAAATCAGTATATGTCTAGAAGTCAGTATTCTCCAAGACTGAATGTCATCTCAGATCAAATCACAACTCCTTCATCTACTTCAATATATAATATCAACCAGGCTTCACTTGGAATCTCTTGCAGTTACTTAGTCTATCTTCTGAAGTTTATGATTACTAAGTGACTAAAGCTGTCACTTCAGCCTGGAAATGATTGTGTTCTCATAAACATTTTCTTTTTGACATGCCTTAGGTTTGGTCATTTAGACTTAAGGCTTAAGCATTAAACACTTGAAGTTTTTTTTGTTTGTTTGTTTTTTTGGGTTTTTTTGTGTGTGTCGTTTTTTTGTTGTTGTTGTTTTGGTTTGGGGTTTTTTTTTTTGTTTGTTTGTTTTGTTTTTTTTTTTCAAAAAACAGAGCAGTGGAGGGAAAAAAGTAGGAGACAGCTTTTGTGATTAGATGATACTGTGATTTCACTCCATAAAAAAACTCTTCTGATAGTAAACAAGCAAACACAAGAAGTCTTTCAATGGCTCACTACTGGTTAGTTTATCTCACATACAAAAAATTCCAAAAGAGATGTGCTGAAGAAAGAAATAATGAACCTTACAGGACAGTGCAACATGGAAGCCCAAGTCAAGCAGATGTCCCCAGCAGTACAGAATTTGTTATTTAGGCATAAATCTTATGGAACATTCTCACAGGATGGTGGATAACTCAAAGTTATACTGTCTTTTCAGTGATTCAGAACCACCCAGCTAGGAACCCTTAATAGCATATGGAACACTTGTCAACTTCTGCAATCAGTCTATTTGCCCCTCCCTAATATTTGTTGAACAGGGCCTTACTTTTTTTTCTTTCCTCAGACTAGATTGCAACATCTGAGCAAGACACGCAGTTTTGTGTTTTGTTTTGGCTTTTGCTTAGTGTTACAATTTTTCTGAAACCTTGTGAAATGAAAATAAAAAAATAGCTCATAACACACGTGTAAAGGAGCCCTGTTAGTTGAAGAATTCAACATCAAGCAGGTCCTGCCTTTGGTATTAAACTACAGCTTGTAGAGTCCCTCATAGAAGAACTAATCTCAGGTGTTAAACTGTGGTGTTGCCGAGGTCAGGAGTCATTCAGATATGGAACAATAGCTCAGGAAAAAGTACAAGTTTGGACCAAACACTGAGCAAATGCTATTGTATCCCTTAAAGATTTTGCCCATAAATTATAATTTGTAAAACTACTACTGGAGAGTTAAAACTTTGCTACAAAACATTAGCTACTTACCAGAAACAATAGCCCCAGCAGCCTCAGCAAAGAATATTTCTGAGATAGCTTCACTGCATGATTTACCTTATTATTGGCTAAAAGAATTTATCATTTATGGTTAAATAATATGCTTTTAAAAATATCAGAAAAAGTTGAAATCAGTTGCAACTAATGCTTAAAAAAGATATTTTTTTCTTACATTAGTTTTTTTTTAAAGCTCTAATTATTATATATTTGCATTTATTTGAGGTTTTCAGAACATTATTTTAATTTAATAAACATTTAATAAGAGATATTCAGCTGACAGACAGACCTACTTGGATTTTCCAGTGTCTCAATAAGAGCACTGAATAACACTATACAATCATTAGATAAGAGGGTCCTTGCACATATAAATGCTCTAAAGACAGGAAATAACATCTCTTCTGTAAATTGTATATTACACAAGGAGAGAAAGCGATGATGATTTCCTGCTTACACTGGGCCACTTGTTGATCACAGTAATAAGAAATGTCTTTTTATAAAGAGTATGATTATCAACCCACCAAATCTACTCATGATATTGAATTGTTCAAAGAAGAAAAGACGAAGGGCTGACATTAAAGGCCCAGCAATACTCAGTAGCCAGGCAATACAAAGACAGAGGAAATTCATTATACATTGACATAAAGTCTTAACTTCACAAACATGAAGGTTATCTCTGATCTGACTATTACCTTTAATGATATTGGTGTTATGGTAGGCATAGTTTTGTGCATTCCATGCTTACTAGTGGTTACAAAGCAAAGTCATTCTTAGAAATTGCTGTGAAAGTACCAAAGATCAAAGCAGAGATTATCATATACTATGAAGCATGAAATATTATAAGAATTTTAAACCACTGCATACCTGCATCTTGAATCTTGGTTCTGTCTCAAGGTGAATAAAGAGGAATTGGAGAAAGTTTAAAGGAGGAAAAGATGAATGATCAAAAGTCTGGAAGGGCTTTAACACTGATTGCCCCAGTTAAGTAGGACTGACTCAGTCTGGACAAGAGACAGCTAAGGGACAATGTGCTAGAGATTTATGCATGTCACAGCGGTAATAAATTGACATCAACTGCACTCCCTCTTTCTCTCCCAAGAGAACTGATAAATATTGATTGAAGACAGTATGGAAAGATTTAAAAAAAAAAGGTCTTATTGAAGCATGCAATTAAACTACAAAATTTCTAGGTGCATGAAGTAACAGATACTAAAAATTAATGCTTGTTGTAGGAAAAGTTAGACAGGTTCATATGAGATGGTTATTAAAAGATTATTTAAAAATACATAAACCACATTTAGATCAGGAAATTACCTGCAAGTGATCTGATACCAGGGAAGAATTTGTGGTAAATATCATACACACTTGCTCTTTTCTTATACTATGCTTTAGGTGCCAGTTTTTGGCTACTGGTGGAGTGAAGATAACTTTGATCAGGCTACAGTCAGATGATGTATAGCATTTTTATAGTCTCAGCTTTAAAAACAGATATGTGTCACTATGCACTTGTGTATACTCTTTTTAAGGAATTGATGAAAATAATGTTATTACTAGTAATAGATTTTTCAGGAAAGATATGAGCTCATAATTGAAACATACAGCCTGTGCAATAAAAACAAGCACAGTGCTGTGGGTAAAACTGCAGAAAAGGAAAAGCACTTTGCAAAACTGTCAGACTGGGCTGCAGTGATGTGCATCAATCAGAGGAGCAGTGGCTGGAGTATGATTCAGCTGTTCAGTCGCAGGTCTGGCCCTCCCCATCCTCACAGTTGTGAAAACCCATTTAAGATCTTTTGTGTAACAACACTTTATAGGCAAGGGCAGCCAATATGCAAAGAGTGAGGATGTGAGCCATGCTCACCAGGCACTTCAATGAGCTGCATTTGAAACACTGCTGCCATGTAGCACTCAAATCAGAGATGTTAAACCTGCTTTATTCAGTTTGTTCAGGATAGTGGCTTGTCAAATTCTATTCTTTATCTGACAGGATTAAAGTTTTACCTGTCTTTACAGAACATAGCTTGAGTATTTATTTTGCAGCAACAAGAAAGAGATATTGAACAAATGCCAAAGTTTTCTCACTTTTGCTTCATACAATTAAATTTCAATCAAATATAAAATGCCAAAGTGATATCAGAAATGAGTTATTACATGTTCCAAACTTCTGACATATGTGACATTAAGAAAGCAATTGTTCTTTATCACTGCAAGGAATATAGCTGTGAGAGTTACCTGACCAGGCTTTGTATTTTCACAGACGACTACATCATAATCTCTGGCAAGCTCGGGAGGATTGTCATTGACATCCAGGATTCTAACACCAACTGGAACGTGGCTCACTAGCCCTGGATTGTCTGCAAAATACACAGGATAGTATTAAACCTTTTAAAGTACTCAAAATTGCATGTCAACCTCAATTTAAAAGTGGTTTATTAACACAATAACTAGATCAAAACTGGATGCATCTACAGAAATTTAGGTAACAACACACTAAAAGATGTTTATTGTGCTTCGTTAACTGTTTTGAAAAATAACTGTTAAAAAGATTGGGAAGTATGACATGAGTCGTAAGTCACTTAAATCAAATACAAACTACTCTGGAAGTGAAGTTGGAGGAAGTTGCTGGACTTATATTGTCACACTGTATGCCAAAAAATGATAAATTTCTTGGTAATGAATGTTAAACTGTCATCACAGTATTGAATTAAATCTAATACAAAAAATATTAAAGCATTTTTCTTTTTCAAATCTCCTTAAAGGTTTTAGAAAGTAAAATGCAAATATAATAATAAATACATAGGTACATATAAACTTTTCCCAAGCTTGAGTTCTGGTTTCTCACAAGTTACCACGGTATTTCCAACAGTAGCTAGTGAGTGTGGCTTTAGCAGAAGAAAAGAAAGAAAGTTTAGCAGAAGTGAGCCTGGTTTTTGCACAAAGAAAACAATATTTAAGTACCAATGCCTTAGGCTATGATCTGTACTGTCATGACAATTCCCCCTCAGAAAGACTAAACCCTCAAAAAAGCACAATAAATAGAATCCTTTCAATAAGATTACACTTTCCATGAGAAAATGGATAAAAAAACCAAACACCCCACAATTTCTTTCAGTCCATAACACCCTTGTTCTTACTTCTAAGTACTAATGTAATTTTATTTTGTTGAAAGAATTATGTATTTAAACTTTTTATAGTTATCTAATACATTCTTTCTGGAGTCTGTACAAGTATCAATCAGTTAGATGACAAACTTCATCTTGCATTCACCAATTAAACTATCAGTAGAAGACAGAAAAGCCAATCTTTCAAATGGACTAAAATGGAAGAATGGGGTATTATAGATTTACGTTTTAAAAGTACATGTGTGTGCTCAGGAGAATAAAAAAAACAAACAAACAAAGAAACAAAAGAACCCCAAACAAAACAAAACAAAACAAGAAAAAAAAAAAAAAAAGAAAAAAAAAAAAAAGAAAAAAAGAGAAACAGAGAAACATTAGTAGTCCAAGCTTCTTTCATGGTGAAACTTCATTCACCATGGTTATTTTGATCATAATTAATCTTTACCATGTTTCTTTTAAAAAAGGGTCATTTGTAAAATGCCTTATATTTGTCACACCTTTAATGATCTCTGCTCAGAATTCTGGAAAGCATTGGCTAGACACATGGCTTTAAAACCACCAGTGATGTAGGCTCACAGTGAAGGAATATTTGAGAATGTTTAAGTTTATTTGACAAATGGAGAGATCTCGGTTTTTCTTTTGTCATATGGGATACTAGCTAGAGGACCAAGGTCTTAGAAATTGCCTCAGGTTTTTCACATTCTCTCTTTAACTAACAGGTATGTTCACACAATTTTTCTAATACCTTTGAAACTTAGTCAATCATCCCTATAAAATGTTAATAGAAAGGAAATAAAAAAGTTCAGAGAAGACTTAACTAGCAGAGGAATGCTATTCCCAATTACCATTAGCATTAGAAGTTAGAAGAACATGCACAGCAGACATATATAGGCTTGCAAATGCCATTATCTTGCTGGAATTTTCCTTTACTGTTTTTTTCAGCTTTACCCCAAATCTATAAATATCTTTGTATAAGAGACAAACTGGACTATCTCACCTATTTTTAGGCAAGAATGAGGCTTTCTATTGGCATCTAAAAAGCACCTTTAATAGAAAACTTTGAGGAAAGTTTAAATGCTAGGGAATAAGTGATGGAAGAATTATACTTGGCTGTCCACTAAGTATTTGGGAGAAGGGAGCCATTTATCTACCTTTGCCGTTTTTTCTCAAGGAAGCAATCTTCTCTCTAGGAGAACATTTCCAGTATGAGTATTAATACAAAAAGATGTTTGTTCCTTTCCTGAAGGTAGGTCAAAAGATCGTGCAGAACAGCACAGGCAGTATAGATTTAACATTACTTACTGCTCACTTAAATTTAGCTTACAACTCATTTAGGTAACATCCTCTGTTAATGTAATCAGACAATGAAATTAAAAAATCCTGTAATTACAACTACAGAATATGATATCTAGGCTCAAAGAAACTTTGGTTTTGAGGCATTGTTGGGGAGGTTCTTGAACATAATTTGTGAGGTATGTGAACTAGAAAGTGGTATAAATTAAAGGAAGGACACAATGCACACAAAGGGAGAGTACATAAAGCTTAATAAGGAGCTAGAGAACAGGGATTACTGTAAAGGGTTAAAGATTAATAAATTAATTTTTTACAAGATTCACAAACTATAATGACGAATTTGAACATTTTAATACTACAGAAAACCTGGAAAAGTTTTAGCAAGAAGGTAACAGAAGTTGTGATTATCAGATTATCATAGGATCACTGAAAAATCTTAGTTGAAAGGGACTTCTGGAGGTCACTGGTCCAGTTTCCATCTCAAAGCAGGGCCATCTTCAAAGGCATGAGGAGGCATAAAACATCCAAGAGGATGCAGAAAAAAGCAGAGAGAGCACAGAGTAGTGAGTACCACAGATAAAGGATTGCTCTGTAGGCCTGGCATATAGTTACCGGGGAAGAAAAAATCAAACTTGTTAGTCTAGTGTATGACAAAAAGTGTTAAATACTTTTGTTTCAGTACACTGCTGCAGATCTCTTTGCCCCGCCTTGAATGTGTCCTCTTGCATGCCTGTCACTACTACCCAGAGCAGTCTCAGTTAGATTTGCAGTAGTTTTACAGAGTTATTTTATGGAGATTCAGAAAGTTTACCTTATTTCTTTTGCAGCTGTTTTACAGTATGAAGAATTTATAAATACCTCATCAGTTCAAAAGAGCTCTTTATGCACAAGGTAATATTAGTAACTCTCTGGGAGCTGGTGCCTCATGGAATCACTGACATTTGCAGGCAAATTTCCATACCAACAGGCTACTCACTACAAAATGCTAATGGTACACTATGAACACCACATACCAAAACAGTCTTGAACAGTGTGCATACAACCTAAATTTGCATGCAAGGTGACAGAGCAATTTATAATGGGGGAATAGAATGAGAAGGAATTGAAGGAAATAAGTTTTTTTTTCTTTTCCTTTTTTTAAGTTTTGATTTTGAGAAATAACATATACTCCAGTCTTCTTCAAGAATACAATTCACCTGCAATCTCCAAACCAATTTAATAACTGGCACTTTTAATAGTACATTTCTCTTAATAAGACAAATTTCCTGCAGCAGTATGGCAGATTTTCAGTTTTAAGATAATCAGTGCTGACATACATTTCAGGCCTGCGCATCACAAAATATTGTGTGTCCTATTAGCATTATGCCTCAAGAGTATATTTTTCGAAATGAATGCTGTCTGTTTTAAGGGGCACCTGAAGCAGAAACACTGCTCTGATTCACCTATGCTAGGGACTTACTTTCTTATGCTTGAGACTTTTTCCAGAATAAATAGTTCTTCTTCCAGAATGCTAAATATCTGTAAAGTAAATCAGTTTTATTATCCAGATCCTCATACTCAGATCCTCCATTGGCAAGTCCACTCTAAATATACAGAAGACCCAATTAACAGCCAATGTGAAGCCTTGAATATTCTCTTCTATTAGTTTCAGGGCAAACTTTAAAACCCCTTTAGGAAGAAAGATTTTTAATGTAGTTACTGATGTCTGAGAGTTTATTTTTACACTAATGAAATTCCCATAGACTTTAATTAAAAAATATTTTATTTGAATGAATTTCAGGATAGAAGTCCTGACATCAACAATCTTTTGTGGTTTTATTCACTTTTTGCTTCTTTTGTATTCTTGGTTTTTCTAATTTTTTTTTAGTAAGTTAGCTAACCGTAAACTGGTTTATAACAGTTTACTATATAAGCCCATTTGACACCTTTTCAAGACTTTACAATACAAACCAACACTTAGGATATTAAACTAGCTCTCTATACCATTTGTTATTAAAGAGAAGTACAAAGGACTCGTCACATTTCTCAAATAAAGATTAGTTTTAACACATTAGAAAAATAAACATAGATATATAGGAAGGATAAAATATACTACCAAAAAAAAAAAAGCCTAAGGGATAGAAGAATGTCCAACATGCAAGTGAGGGTGGCAATATCAGTAAAATACTGGGTTTAATTACAGGATGACATATATGTGATAAACTAAGTCTTCTGGCAAGGAGAAAATTATGCAGAATCTAAGAATAAGTTTAATCTTCCAGTCTTCTTTTTAAGGAAGTGGGTACTTTAAATAATATTACCTGAAGATGGATAGCAAATGTTTCTATTTTTTTCTTGTAGCAAAATTTTACTGATAAATATAAAGCTGAAGGCATTGCTGACTTCTCTTGTGTCACAGTAGTAGTTATAGCAGCAGCAACTACAGAAGCAATAGTAGTAATCATAGCACTGCAATAGACCAAAAACATTTAGAGTTTTCAAGCTGGAAACTCTCTCTTGCCTTAATGCAAGCAAAATTCTCACAGATGGTGTTGGTGTTGCCTGATTAGAACAGGACACCACAAAACATACTGGGTCTGTGGCCAGAAATTTACATTTTGAGATTTCTGTCACAAAGCTTCAAAGGGGAAGCAAATGCCATATGATTCAAAATTCTAACCCTTCTCTAGGGCCCCATCTTGGTAGGTAAGAAGAGCCATACCCTACCCCATTTTCTGATGATAATGTAGGAATATCTTCATCATTGCTTTTCCCAAAGAAACAGGAGAAGAAAATACAGCATGCCTAGAAGCCAATGACTAAGCCAATATAAACAGGGAATAAGCATTGAAATTGGAATTAGAAGCATAATTCCTTGAGCAGGCTGGAGAACTAACTGCCTTCCAACAACTGTTAGATTTTTTAAAGCTGCTTTTTTTGTAGGCTTTCTGTATTGCATTGGT